CATATGAAATAACAAAAGAAAATAGTGAGACGGGAAAATTAGAATTTTTAATGAAATTTCACTATGAAAATAATATACGTGATTCATGTGCAATTTATTCTATACAACGAATTAAACGTTTAGCACAGGAACAAAGTACTATCTCAACATCATTACCTTTGACTTATAATTCAACGATATTTGTGAGAACAGACGAAAATAGAATGGATATAATGAAGGTATTGATGACAGGACCTGATTCAACACCCTATGCAAATGAATGTTTTGTATTTGATGTTTATTTTCCAAATGACTATCCATTAGCACCTCCCTCTATCAATCTCGAAACAACTGGAAATCATACTGTCCGATTTAATCCAAATTTGTATAACGATGGAAAAGTATGTTTAAGTATATTGAATACATGGCACGGTAGACCAGAAGAAAAATGGAATGCAATGTCAACATTTTTACAGGTAAAAATAGTCTATACAATCATGGCTCTCATAAATCTCTATAGTCGGAAAAACAATTCTCTCTTTCAGTCTAGACTCTGATACCCAATAACTCCGAGCACTTTTCATAGATTTCTTACATTAGTAATGTATATTTCCTGATTCATTTTAGGTTCTTGTATCAATTCAATCACTGATATTTGTTTCTGAGCCTTATTTCAATGAACCAGGCTATGAAAGAATGCGTGGTACACCAAACGGTAATACACAATCATTGGAGTATGATGCAAATATACGTCAAGCAACAGTCAGATGGGCAATGTTAGAGCAAATTCGAAATCCTCCTGCTTGTTTTCAAGATATTATTAAACGACACTTTTTTCTTAAGCGAGGTAAGTGCCATTTCTATTCCGATATTCAACTTATTTAATTGTTCTTGTTTTAGTTGAAATAATGGAACAATGTGATAATTGGATACGTGAATTAAGCGGTAAAAATGCATATGAAAAACGTTTGAGTACATCTGTCAATCAGCATTGTTCATCTCTTATTCGTTATACGAATGAGTTGAAAAAGGAACTTAATTGTTTACAACCACCAGATGATTTAGAAATAAAACCAGAATTAGCTCAACTATTAAAATACGATTTAAAACAACAACAACACCAATCAGCAATATTCACTACTCAAACAAATAATAATAAAAATGTTACAGCACAAACTACTTGGAAACCAGAAACATTGAATATAGGTATTGTTTCACCGAAAAAAACGATGAACGATGAACATTCAATAACAATCAAAGTTCTACCCAATTTACAATATAACAGTTTAAATGACAAACAAAGCGGTTATCAACAACAACAACAACAACAACAACAACAAGATAATGTTTCGATAACCACATCGACAACTAATACTTCGGTATCATCTCCATTATCCTCACAACAAACATTATCTAAAACCGAAACAGCAACAAATTCCTCTCCTTATTTTCCATTTGTTTATTCGTTCGAAAATAATTCATCAGCTGTCTCAGCATCATTCACACTACCAGAGAAAATAAATTCCACATTAACTCAGCATTTTGCTGATGAAGATAGCTGGCAGGATGAATATGACGATATAGGTAAGTACAGTTGTTTGATCGAAAGTTGACGCATGCTTTTCATACCCTCTTTTCAATATTTGTAGAAGAATTGTATGAAGATGGTACGATGGATGATGATGATGGTGTGCTTGATTGGTATGTTTAGATGACACTGACAGGTATTCGTATATCCGTCCTTTATTGTCCTTTATTGTTCTGAGTAATTTGAGTAAATATTTTTTTTGAAAAATTTTCAACCTTTGAGTCGATAACTGATACAATCACGTATTTTCTACTATTATATTTTGTTTCTGGAAGAAATTCGATAACAGAATTCTTCTCTCATTGCTTTTTTATATTCGTGCACGAATTTAAACCCGAGTGATTTCTTCCGAAAGAAAATACTTTATTTTTATGCTTTTTTTGTTATCGATCAAAAACTGCATTTTTCGTGTCTCTTTCGCGAAAACAGTACGTTTCTTTATTGTTAAACTTTCTTCTTGTTAAAAGTGAATATTGTATATATTGATCATCATTTTTTAATATTCTTATTTAAACAGTCGTTTTTTTTTTGTTTCTTACTACAACATATTTTTTGTACTTCTATACATGGATATATCCACTTCTTATTAAAGCACTTTTTCAAAGTGACAAGATTTTGATCTATATAAGCAAATCTAACACAACTGATTGTGCAACATAGTGTTTTAGGAAAATTTGTTAGCATCGTAAAGTCTTCGTTGAAAAAATGATCTGTCATCTAAATGTCGAAAAATTAACTCCTGCACAACAAAACAACACCTTAGGAATAGCTCAGTGTTTGTTATGAATAAGTAGTCACTAAAAATTCCTTTACTATTAAAAGTTCCAATCATTAACACAGCGTTCTATGTTCACGAATAACAGGTAGAAAGTATTAACAATTTCTCAAATGTTTAATATCGATATCGTCGATCAGTCGACCGTACGGTTTTTACACTTATAAGTCTAAAAACTATAACTATATAACTATTATCCAGATAGTACATATTCTAACATTTATCAACAACGTTTATTTTTTGTAGCATAATTCAAATATTTCAGAAGATGACTGACGAGGGACCGTCGCCAACTTCGATTTCAGCGATCTTTTGCTGATAGATACTATATAGTGTCCTAGTGGTAACCCTAAAAGGTTTAGGTGTATGGTTTTTCTTTCAAAAGTTAAAAATTTTCTATTTTTCCGGCCTAGACACCTTTCGAAATACACATTAGTAGACTCATTTTTTGATCCTGATTCCGAATATGATATTTTTATTGCATAAAAGTTGAGTTCTGATAAAGAAAATTGAGAATTACGGGCACAATTGCGAAGTTTTCGCCAGGAATTTTCTCAGCAATGAAAATGAATTTTTTTTCCCGATCAGGGGGAGGGCAGGGATGTGCTGCTCCCTGCCTAAACCTAAACCAAAGAATGATCATGATCTTCATTTTTTATTGAAAACAAAACAATATACATCTGATGTAATACTTTGTGACAAGCCAAGCATAAAAAAGTCTATAAAAATAAATAAACAGCAACGCGGGAGAATGCTTGCTAAATTATCTCGACCAACGTGGACAAAGTCGGCACAAGTCGCTCGATACATCTAAAATTCATGGTGTGAAATGAATTTTGAGCGTAAGTTTTACAGAAGCTAAAGGTTTGAACTTTTTAATTCTGTTAGTGGAAAGATGTCTTAAGTTAAAGCATGTCTTTCGACTAGGAGGAACACGTTCTTGGGCAAATCCATCTGAAGTGTCCCACGTTTTACTAAAGTCTTTCCGCTTCATTCAAGACCAATCTGATTTTATAGAGCACATCAAATTACGTTAGAAACTGTTTTTTTTGACTTCATAGTTGATGCAGAATCCGAGAAAAATAACTTTTTAATTTACTCTCCCAGCAAAATTATCGGATTTGGCGCTACTCTCAATGCGAATTGATCACCACCACGATGAATTTTACAACATGTTCTCCCTTTTTTCGACAAACCGCTTAAGATTATTATTATAGAGTGGGACATGACCTATATTCTCTACAACTTTGAAGAATGTACCATGTAAGGTTTACGAGATATTGAGCTTTTTCACTTCTCATGACCACCGTACAAAACTGGTACTTGAGAAAAAATGATGATGGTGGCACCATAGTAACGGCGGACTCAGCTACCTTATAAACATCTGGAAAAGCAGTTTTTTTAATCATAATCAAACTGAGAATGCAAGAAGACCTATAGGATGTTGCTTTTATCAAAAACCCGAATTTAAAATACTGAGATAAAACTCAAACATACTTCATTTTTAAAAGTTCAATATCTCGTGAACCTTACATGGTACATTCTTCAAAGTTGTAGAGAATATAGGTCATGTCCCACTCTATAATAATAATCTTAAGCGGTTTGTCGAAAAAAGGGAGAACATGTTGTAAAATTCATCGTGGTGGTGATCAATTCGCATTGAGAGTAGCGCCAAATCCGATAATTTTGCTGGGAGAGTAAATTAAAAAGTTATTTTTCTCGGATTCTGCATCAACTATGAAGTCAAAAAAAACAGTTTCTAACGTAATTTGATGTGCTCTATAAAACTAGATTGGTCTTAAATGAAGCGGAGAAAGTTTGTATTAATGGGACATTTCAGATGAATTTGCCCTCTTCTGTAACTCTACACTGCGACTTATCGCTTTCTCTATCATGCCACTTTTTGCCTATTCTCAGCTTTAGTCATACTGCCCTGCTAAAAAAGTCATTTTAAACACTTTTGCTGGCTTTAAGAGCGCCCCCTCAGGAAAAAACTTTTTTATCTTGCATCCGATTTCGATGGCGCTTTCAGTGACTAATGCTTACAGTCCTACTAGCTTATGCTAAAAATTCGAGGTCGAAACGTTGAAGCGGTGCCGAGTTATTGCGCGACAAGGGGCAAAATGGAGCTCTTAGCAATAACGTAAAGACTTTTTTGTTGGAAGGTGCAGAAAGCTGCGAGAGGCCTCAAATGAAAGTCGACACCTAAATCTAAAATTTGATCCGCGGCGATTTTTGAATTTCGCTTCCGTTCATTTTCTACACGTATTTTAATCAGACCTCTGAAAATAACCCTAATTCGGCGGTGTATTTGCCAGTTATCTCTACACAAAAAACAAAAATCAAAAATCGCCGCGGTTCAAATTTTAGATAAATGGCTTAGCTTCAAAATCAAAAAGAATGAAGGTTTTACGACGAATCGTCTAGGAGTTGATACAACGTTGCTGCGCCAAAACCATATTCTAAAGCAATGACGTCATTACTTCATTAATTATAGTTCAGCGTCTTTAACAAAACTAGTATAACTCTGCAAGACGAAGTCGTACAGAATTGCATGCATTAACCGACAACTATAGCTGGCAATATCGACAACTCTATCTTTAACTTTAAGAAAGATTTACTGCGCAAAAATACGCCAAAAGTGTGGTATTACTGCGGTGGACCTAGACATTGCCACATCCACTGTTCTCATTAGAAAATCGGAGGGGGAGTTAGTGATTGTCAAAACAAGTTTATCCGCTCTTAAATTATTGATTGTTAAGATTAACGTACGGAAAATTACTAGAAATAAGCCTGTTTATAACTTTTATCAAATTTCCGCAGATTTTGTCTCTGACTCTGAAAAACTTTCAACTAACTAATGTGTAATTCTTCATGTTTTCGAAAGACATTGCTGCTAAGCAATAATATGTGTGAGTCATGCTTGTGAATCTTATTCTAAGAATACTCTGTTTACCTGCTAATTCACGAACCATTCAGATAGTCACAGTATTCACATACTTCCTCCACCTCAAGATATGTACTGAACTCATACGTTTACGAATTGTATAGTTTTACTGTTATCTTTAAAGATAATGATTATAGCTTTCAAATTTGAATGATACGATTACGTGAAACAACATTTGGTGGCCTTTGGAAACACAAAACTCTTTTTAAACACACACTCGCATTTAGTTGCTCATGTACTGGAATTCTAATTGCTTTTGCAGTTGTTTATGTGTAAGTCACACAGAATATACTTTTAATACTCATAAATCCACCCTTTCGCTGATGTTTTAGAAAAAAGCGATTATATAAATATGGTTACTTCAGTTTCGAAGAAAACATTGAATTCCTGAGGGGGGGTCCTTAATTCCGTTAATTTTCGACCAAACGACGGGAAGTTGCAATAGCTATTGCTGCCACCCATGTCGACGAACTCGCGGTATTTTTATCAATTAATTGACGATTCCGATGATTGTTCTTTTTTTTTAAAAGTCATTAATTAATTGCGATTAATCGTTGGTTCTAAGCGATTAAATGGTTATCCTTACTCACCGTTTTATTTTGCCGTAAAGTATGTATATAAGAAACACGATTTCAACGAGAAATTCAATTCTATTTAGATCATCTTCTTATTTTTCATTTAGGGTAAAACGGAGTTGTCAAGAGTCTTCTCTATGTCTCACTACTAAGCCCAGTGAACAGCTGGTATCTGGGAAATGTCTAAAATCGACTCGTCGGTAAGGCTCCGACTTGAGCTGGTATTAAGACCGTTACTGAGTGACGTACATATCATTATACATAATAAACAATGAAAAAACAGAAAAAAATATGTATTTCCTAAGATGGGTTCGAATCTAGGCACTATCTTGCGAGTGGTAATAGCCACCCCGTTTTTCTTGCGGCAGCACAATAGAAACAAGTCCGTCTAGTGGCTATGATAATCGTTATCGATGCAATAAATCAATCAAGTCATATTTGGTACGAGTTATAGTAGAGTAGTTTAAATTGGTCAATTTCGATAAAAGTAGCAGTTTGTAGATCAATTTCAAACGTTATTTCTTTTTCTTTATTTGTTTGATCCGTAAATGTTTATCACACATGTAATATGTCTGTAACATCTGTTTCTGTGATTTACTGATAAAGTACAAAGTTGAAATAAAATTTTGTACTTAAGCGAGTCCATTAGTATGTCAAGGAAATCTCTAACTGGAGTAAACATAACTTTTCACTTATCAATGTGTTTATTGTGTTTTTTATCAAAATGTCTGCAGAGACTTAAATTTTTTTAGACCTTGCAGATGTCTTGCTGATAGTCACATGTTTTTTTTGGACTTGATCATAATTAAATTTTACCTTTTGCATA